ATATTATGTTGCAATGTTCAATTACTAAATGAACAATTACTTACACGAATATGTACAAAATAACATGCGCACTTTTTATTGCGTAGATGTTAACAATAACATTAAAGAGACTATGAAATGGTATGTTTATTTTTGGGTTTTTCTATATAGTAACCCTGTTTTTTTTTTCACTTTTCTACGTTGTGCCCCAATATATATCACTTTCTACACTGTAACTCTAATATATATTTTTTTTCTATACGATAACCTTGCCGTTATAAAATTCCGTTAGTGGGGCCCACTCTTCATCATTAATATTTTTTTATCGATTTGCGCGTTGAAAAATATTTTCGTCAAAGGTTTCGAGGGCTATCTTGGCCCTTAAGAATCCAAATTAAGTTCAGATTTGGCAAAAAAAAACGTAAATGCCTCGTTTTGTATGTTAAAATGTGAACACATAAATTGAGACATTTTATAATTAGCAAAACAAGGCATTTACGTTATTTTTTTGCCAAATCTGAGCTCAATTTGTACTCTAAAGAACCAATATAGCCCTCAAAACCTTTGACGGAATATTCAACGCGCAAATCGATTAAAAATACTAATAATGGAGAGTGGGCCCCACTAACGGAATTTTTTAACGGCAAGGTTACCGTATGGAAACAAAAATATATTGAGGTTACAGTGTAGAAAGTGATATATGTTGGGGCACAACGTAGAAAAGTGAAAAAAAAAAACAAGGCTACTATATAGAAAAATTCTTTATTTTTTACAATTGAAATGCTCAGTTATATAACATTAGACGTACAATCTTTTTATTTCAGTTTCATAGTCTCTTTATTTTATTCTTATATTATAAATGTTCATTTTTATATAATGCAATGTTCAATAACTGCATGTTCATTTTTCCTAATAAATGTTCATTCTCTTTCTAGTAAATATTCATTTTTTTAGTAAATAACTTAAACAAGGAATATACTCACAATCATCCGTAAAGAAAGGAAAAAAAAACACATACAAAATTATTCAAAAAAACAAAACTATATTAAATCAAAAAAACAATATATGAACTTACATTCATCCAATAATGAAGGAAGAATTGCAAATGAAAAATCAGTAGCATGCTCCATTGTTATTCATAAACAAAAAAATCGAAAATCTTGAAATACCTTGAATATGTAGAACAATTCAACAGCAGAAATCCAAAAAAAAAAATCGAATTGGAACAATGAGAGAGAAAATATTGTAAAATCCAGAAGAGAGAGAAAGTTTGAATTGAATGAAAACAAATATTTTATATACTCAGCAAAGGAAACAAATATAGCTAGAAAATAAAATTGGAGATATTATCTGAAAAAGAAAGCAACATCGTTTAGAGGAAGGATCAGCCAAATAAAGAGTGGACTCCATATTATGAATGTTCATTTTTATATATTGCAATGTTCAATTACTAAATATTCATTTTTTTTCTTGTAAATGTTCATTTTGATTCTATCAAATGTTCATTTTTATAGTGCGGGACCAGCTTCCTATGGCTGGTATCGAATCCAGGGGAAAATTTGCGTGTTGTTGGGGCGTGGATTTGTGATTGAGCTTCTAGCTTTGACGACCCAACTTGCATATTCATTACTTGATCCATAATATCTTGTAAAAGTGCTTTTGTCAAAAAATAAAAATAAAAAATAAAAAAAATAAAAAAATAAATTGTAAAAGTTTGGATGTCTTCACTAAACAAGCTACTAATCACCGAATCGATTTCCTTTAGCTCCGTCTCAGACTTCAAATATATGGCCATAAAATACAATATGTGATCCAATATCTTTGTAGTGGTTCAATAACTCGAAAATTGTCATAAATATGCAAATTCTTACAAAATAATACTAACTCTATAAAAACACTAGAAAACGTATATTAGTAGTAATAATAGTTCCGCGGAGCTTAAATAAACATTAATATGACCACGGGACGGGGAATAAAAAATAGATATAAAATCGATTAATCAATGATATTTAACAATATATGATTAAATTGTCTGTTTAACAATGCCTCAGTTCCTGCATCAGCTCAAGCCACTTTTTCTTGTTTTTTATTTGTTGTCAGCAAATACATTCAGGTACCTGATACTTTTAATTGTCAAGTTTAGACTAAATTTATTAATGGCTATTGCTTGTAAGGCTCCATGAGTCCATGATATTAAAAATAAAAAAATAAAAAAAAAATAAAAATAAAATAAAATCTTTCTCTTACGAGCTTGTTATATAAATATCAAGGCTTTCCATTTCAGCTTTGATCGTTTGATTTGGCAGTGATAGAAGGGGTATGTTTTCCTTGCATATTCACAAAGTACAAAGTCAGAATATATACAAAGCTAAGCCTTCAATTTGGCGTGAGACTAGCCTAATTCTCAGGAACTAATTAACTACTTTGACTATAAGATATACATCACAAATATACATTCCTAAAATATCTATAAGATATATTTAACACACCCTCACAGTCGAAGCGGGAGGTTTACGGACACTGAGACTGTCCCTAAATTCATCAAATAAAATTTGTGGAAGGCCCTTAGTAAAGATGTCAGCTATTTGATGTCGAGAAGGCACATGAAGCACTCGAACCTCACCCCGAGCAACTTTCTCCCGGACAAAATGAATATCCATTTCAATATGCTTTGTCCGTTGATGCTGAACTGGATTCCCTGATAAATAAATAGCACTTACATTGTCGCAATAAACAAGAGTAGCCTTCTTAATCGGACAATGCAACTCTAATAGAAGGTTCCGAAGCCAACAGGATTCGGATACAACATTTGCCACTCCACGATACTCTGCCTCAGCACTAGATTTTGACAAAGTTGGTTGTCATTTTGACGACCAAGACACCAAATAATCACCCAAAAATACACAATAACCAGAGGTAAAACGACGGGTGTCAGGGCAACCACCCCAATCTGCATATGTGTATGACACCTATGTAGAAAACGAGGATGGATATAAATGAAGACCATAATCCAACGTACCTTTAACATACCGAATAACCCGTTTTAAAGCAGACATATGAGCTACTCTGGGATCATGCATATGTAAGCACACCTGCTGAACAACATAAGATATATCCGGCCTAGTAAAGGTAAGGTACTGAAGAGCCCCTGCGAGACTTCTAGAGAGTGGGATCATCAAATGTAGTACTAGATGTAGCACCAACCTTTGACTTCGTATCAACCGAAGTAGCCGATGGTTTACACGAAGACATTCCTGCCCGATCTATTATCTCTTCGGCATATTTCCGTTGAGATAAAAACATACCATCTTTGTTGCGTGTCACAACAATCCCTAGAAAATAATTTAGAGGACCAAGATCCTTCATAGCAAACTCTGAGCTAAGAAGATCCATAATAGAACACCGAAGAGTATCAGATGAGGCTGTGAGAATTATGTCATCAACATATAGTAAAATGTATGCCATATCAGCCCCCTTACGATAAATAAATAATGAATTATCCATCGTACTGTTAGTAAACCCAAGAGATAAAACATAATCTGCAAAACGCTTATACCAAGCTCTGGGGGCTTGCTTAAGTCCATATAAAGACTTACGCAATAGACAAACGTAATCTGGATGGTCAGGATTCCTGTATCCCAATGGTTGATGCATATATACAGTTTCTTGTAAGCTCACCATGAAGGAAGGCATTTTTGACGTCCAATTGATGAATTGGCCATGCCTTTGAAAGAGATAGACTGAGAACAGTATGGATTGTAGCTGGTTTCACCACCGGACTAAAAGTCTCACCACAATCAATGCCAACCCATAGAGTTTTTTCCATCACCTACAAGACGGGCTTTATGCCTCTCAAAATCACCATTAGATTTAACTTTATGAGTAAAAATCCACATAGAACGAATCACATTCACATTTGGAGGACGGGGCACCAACTCCCACGTCTTATTTTTAATAAGAGCATTATATTCATCATCCATAGCCATTTTCCAATTTGGGTCACGAAGAGCCGCAACCGGATTTCGAGACAAAGGAGACCTCTCAACCGATGTATGCAAGGAATATTTTTTATTAGGCTTAAAAATTCCATGTTGGCTACGGGTTACCACTCGGGGCTGCTGGAGAGAAGTGTTTGGTGGAGTTGGAGCAGGTTGTGTGTTTTGTGATTGTAGTGGATGGGCTATGATAGGGGAACTTGGAGGTGGGCCATTTGGAGAAGGACTCATAGATGGGATGACTGCAGGGGAAGAAGGCGGAGATGAGCTGACAGGAGGAGGCCCAGCACGGTCCAAGTGAAGGACGAGCTGCAGTGTGCTGGGCAGGGAGGTCACGTTGGGCTCAGGTGTTGTTGGCCGAGCTTGTTAGACCATGGGCTGGTTAGTTTGAGGAACTGACGCAGCTTGGAGATGGTGCATCACATATGGTGACATACCATCATCTAAGAAATCGTAAGTGTGGGTTGTTGGAGAATGTAATTTAGCAAAAGGGAATTGACTTTCATCAAACACAACATGACGACAAATGATAATTTTTCGGGATGATAAATCATAACATTTGTAGCCCCTATGGTTAGAGGGATACCCTAAGAATACACAAGGTGTAGACCTTGGTTGCAGCTTATGGATTGTTGTCGGTGGAAAGAGAGGGTAACATAAACAACCAAAAACCCGAAGATGAGAATAAGTAGGAACCCGATTGTAAAGAACCTCAAGAGGAGACTTGTTTCCCAACAACTTACTTGGAAGGACATTAATAAGATATGTTGCCATTTGAAGAGCATGATGCCAAAAAGAGGGGGGGGGGGGGGAGAGGCATGAGCAAGAAGAGTGCGAGAGATATTGTTTATAGTCCGAATTTTTCGTTCGGCTTTCCCATTTTGAGAGGAGGTATGAGGACACGAAACACGGAATGACATCCCATGATTTTTGCAAAATTCCCAAAAAGGACCATTATCAAACTCCCTACCATTGTCACATTGAATATTTTTAATATTATGTTCGAATTGGGTAGAGATATGATTTTTAAACGTCAAGAAAATGTCATAAACATCCGATTTCCGGGTTATCGGAAAAGTCCACAAATATTTGGAATAATCATCCAAAAAAAAAAAAATATTTATGTCCAGCAGAGCTCAAAACAGGAGAGGACCAAAGGTCACTATGTAAAATATCAAAAGGCAAAGAAGTACTCGAAAGTGAAGGAACAAACGGCAATTTTATATGTTTTCCAAGAACACAAGAACCACAAATACTAGAGCTAGAATGTTTAATACAATCAATGATTTTATTCTTCCTAAGCACATCTAAAATAGAAGATCCCGGATGACCCAACCAATCATGCCATATTTTAGTAGTAACGGCAGCAAAAGTTGAAGGAATGGCTTGATCGTTGTGGAAAGCTGAAAAGGGATAAAGGTCACCTCGGCTATTACATCTCATTATTGCCTCCCCGTCCGATAATCCTTCACAGAAAACCCAAAAGGATCAAACTCAACTAACACAGAATTATCAGTAGTAAATTTTCGAACAGAAATAAGATTTTTGATCAATTTGGGAGCATGTAGAACATTTTTCAAAGAAAGAGATTAACACGAGGAAGATAAATTAGACTGACCATAGACAAGAATAGGAATAGTGTGACCATTACCAACAACAATATTATGACTAGGATAATTGCTCAAATTAAAATAAGACGAGAGATTACTGGCAGAGGAAGTCATATGAGATGTTGCACCGGTGTCCATGTACCAAGCCGGATCAGGTTGCTGCAAAGACATAGTGTGCATTGCGGCTTCAATGTCAGTGGGGCTATATGAAGTGGACTGCCCAAAAGGAGAAGGGGCCTGCTGCACGAAGGCCAGCTGCTGTTGTGGCCTTGGGCCCAATAAACCGGCCTGCTTTGTAGGAGAGGGCCTAGCCCACCCTTGAGAAGGATAAGGGTAGGGAGGTATGGGCCATGGCCACCCCCAAGGGTACTGCTGCCATTGTGGGCGTTAAGCCGACTGACCACCCGAGCCAGAATATCCACCCGTCTGACCGCCCTTGCCGCCACCGGAGCCAGAGTTCCGCAACCACCACCAGTAGATTTCCGACCACCACCGTTTTTCCGGCCACCAGAGGTCGAACCACCACCACCGTTTTTCTTTTTCGAAGCACCTGACTTCTCAGACGCACTTGGACCATCGTCTTGCGCCGTGACTATCAAGGCAGATTCCATGGCCGCCTCTTTGGCCAAACCGGCCTCCTCTAGAGTCAACATCGAACGGGCCTTATAGAACGGGGGTAGAGGATTACTCTGCCTAATTAGAGTGCCTACACCACGGTAAGCCTTGGTGAGTCCACCAACCATTTGCAAAATCATACGGCTGTCAGAAACCGGCGCTCCAACGTTCTTTAATTGATCCGCAAGGTCTTAAGACGCTGGCAATATGCAGAGGCATTCGGAAAGTCTTCCATAGCAGTGGAAGAGAACTCTTGTTCTAGAGCAACGACACGGGAATGTTGATTGTCTTGGAATATATCACGCAATCTATCCCAAGCTTCCATGGCCGCGGCATCGGGCTCGATTATGGTTTGCAATAGGTCCCTAGAAATTGTAGAATAAATCCACGATATAACCGTGGCATCCAAGGTCGCCCAAAGTTCCTTCTCTTCATCAGTTGAAGGAACCTTACCCTTGCCGGCGGAAGGGGGGATAATATGATCGAGGACCTTGTGTTTTTTTGCGTGAATCTTGAAAAGTTCTGCCCATGTAGAGTAAGAAACGTTCTCCATTTCAAGAACAATAGGAATAGATGTGAGGATATTATTGACGGTGAAAGCAGGGTGAAAAGAGGATTTGTTTTCTGCCATTGATGATAGCAGGAACCGAATAGAGAGGAAGAAGATGAAGAACAGGGCAGTGGGCAGAAGCTGATGCAAAGGGCAAGCGGAAGCGAGAAGAAAACCCTATGCGTCTGATACCATGATAGAAGGGGAATGTTTTCCTTGCATATTCACAAAGTACAAAGTCAGAATATATACAAAGCTAAGCCTTCAATTTGGCGTGAGACTAGCCTAATTCTCAGGAACTAATTAACTACTTTGACTATAAGATATACATCACAAATATACATTCCTAAAATATCTATAAGATATATTTAACAGGTAGGATATAGCCTATGAGATTGACAAAATTTCGTACTAGAGCACGTGATAATCCTTGTGATAGACAAAGTTTATGTCGTTAATTATTAGTTTTAATTCATTCTTGTGAATTCAACATAATGATTTTAAGAGCTAATTTGCAACCCCTCATTCTTTTTTTTTTTGGTTGGAAATCTAATCATATCATCTATTAAGTACTAAAACAAAACATGCTGACATCATTAAGGGACACATGTCAATTTCTAATAAAAAATTTCCCGCCTAAACTATTTTTGACATCATCATTATTTTTTCTATATTCCAAAACTAAATAAATTCAGTGCTACTTTCAACATTAATTAATAAGATTTATGATTTTTTTTTAATATAAAATTGACAACTTTTTAAACAAATAATGGCTACTTAATTCGTGCAACGTACGGGACTAAACTAGTATATAACTATTATATGAAGCTAAACTTTTAGTCAGGCCATGAAATAGCGACGCTTGGCATTCCAAGTTTTTGTCAAGTGTCGTGCCGCGTTTGACAGATTTAGATAGACTTTAGGATAAAAAATAGTTAGTTTAAAATTTTATTTTAAATCAAATTTAGATTGAATTTTAGGATAAAATTGTTAGTTTAGAATTTTATTTTTGATAAAATACCAATATTTCACATGTACAAATTGAATTATAATTTTTCATTCAAAAAAAATATTTGTAAGAGCATTTGTAAAAAAAAATCTAGAAAATTCTGGAATAAATTTTTAGAAAATTTAACAACAACAAATCAACCTTTGCCCCATTCTCCCAAAATGGACCAACCTTTAAATATTCCCAAAGTAGACAAAAGTTTACATTTTTTTCTCCCAAAATGAACAAAGCAGGTCACCTTACCTGTTATACTAGGTAAAAAAAATCACTTGTCATTAAATCATTAGTCAAGTTTTTTTTTTATTTATTTATTTTTTTTATAATAATTTTTCCATATAAAAAATTAAAAACCAAAAAAAAAAAAAATTTAAATCATCCTTTCCCACCACTACCGTCCCCCTCCCAACCAGCCACCCTCTTAACCTTCATTACCATCACTTCCACCCACTACACCACCACCTATGTAAACTACCAGCAACAACCTCCATAGAAATCAACATACCAACCACCATAGAAACCAACATACCAACCACCGTAATCACCATACCAAGTAGCAAAACCAGCATGCTAACCAATCCGAAAACACCGAAATCACCTACTAGCTCACCAAAAATACCGAAACTACCATACCAACCAAAGAAAAACACTGAAACCACCATACCAACCCACCGAAAACACCATATCAACCACCAAAACCAACATACCAACCCACCCCACTAACACCAAAACCAAAAAACCCACTACCCAAAACCTGCCATAACCATTCTCTCACCACCACAAATATCTGAAACCCACCCCATCGAAACCCTTAATTTCTCAATCTTTCAATTCTTCTTTCTTTTTACATCAATTTCTCACTTTTTTCGATTTAGGGATAGTCGGTTTGGGTTTCATGAACAGCGATGTATGATTGTATGGCGAAAAATGCAGTGTTAAGGGGAGGGGGAGTGGTGTCTGGAAAGGAGATGGTAGAAAATGGGAGGTGAAGTTGTGAAGGGGGGGGGGGGATGGTGGCCAGAGAGGTGGAAAAGGGGGTGGCTGGCAATGGGGTGAGGGGAGAGTGGTCTTTTTTTAATTTGTATTTTTTTTAATTATTTTGTTAATTTGTAACAAATAATTAAAGGTTTTTAATTAAAAAAAAGATAATTAAAGTAAAATTAAAAAAAAAATGACCGGTTGTACAGGTTTCTAGTCATTTGGGTTCATTTTGGGAGAAAAAAAAATGCAAGGTTTTGTCTATTTTGGAAGATTTAAAGGTTGGTCCATTTTGGGAAAATGGGGCAAAGGTTGATTTGTTGTTGTTAAATTTTCCTAAATTTTTTTAGGGTTTCTGTTTTCGTAAATGTTATGATATAATGTCAAGCTCAACAAATTTCATCTCGCGGGATAATCATATTCAACAAATTTTCACCTCTTCTGGAATATGGAGAATAATGTAATTTTTATCTCTTCTAGAGATCAATCTTAATAGAGAGTCATGATTTGTGCAGTTGTCTATTTTCTTATTCTATTTCATATGTGGTGACATAAAATAGCCTCAATCAAGAGATTAATTTACTATTAAACCAGTTGTAAGAAGTAATCTTTTAATTTTCAAATACATTAATAATGAATTTCTAGTTACACAAAACCTATATACATACAAGTTGTTTTAGTGAGCTTCTGGCCACTTATTACTTGTTCACATGCAAAAGCATATAATCTCTTGAAATTTCAAAACAAACTATTAAATCACAATTTAAATATAGCTCAATCTCAACGTTATGTGTTGCCATTCAATACATTTCATAATATCTAATATGATAGAGTGTCAGCACATTATTTCTTTCATATCAAGTGAAAGTTCAAGTTTTCATGACGGGTAATTATTAAACCCGGATGGACTAATTTAATTATCACATCCAATCACTTCTCTAAATTTGAACTCTGGTCAATTTTCCAACACTAGTGATCAATTTATAAACTTACTTTATGCATGACAATAAATATGATGTGCTATTAGAACACCAACATGTGTTTCTGTACCTTATGCCCCGAGTGCTCAGCTTCGCTCCATAAGTGGAACTAACTGGAAGGTCAGTATAGGAAGCCTCTACAGCTACCTCCTGTATAATTGACAAGACAATCAAATAATATTTTATCCTATAATTACTCATGCCTTATTAGAGTTTTTACTATAATCTTGATACATGTTAATCTTGTTGAATTTTCATATTCTTCTGGAATCTTTTATATAATCATGAAACATATGAATTTTACAAAAAGTGATTTCTTCTAGAAACATAATGAGATTTATCACTTCCTCAAATTTGTCATTGTCTATTGATCTATTGTCGTGATTCAAGCGTGCTATAGATTCATCATTGATTGATGTTGTCCTTTTAGGACATCAATTTTAAATGGGAGGATTTACAACTATGCTAGTATATTACCATTGACATTTATTTATATCCATCTTCAAGGTGCTATCATTTCAAAATATTTAATTAACATGTGACCACCTCTATGAAATAAATCGTTGATATTTAAGTTAACTAGTCGTTGGAGCACGCGTTCCCCCGACGGTAAGATAAGTACAATTCGTGGTTTTCTTCATTTTTGTGATATTCGTGGTTGTTGTTGTTCGGGTTTGTAATAGCAAGGATACATGAATTAAGTACTAACAAGGAGTAGTGATAAAGTTTTTATTGGGAAATATCTGTGGGAAAACAATTGTTATAAGTGAAGTTATCTAGAATTTGTTATAATTTAAAGATTTTTTTTTAAAAAAAATTATACTATTGTTTTAGATAATATTTTAGAATACACTCGTTTTCTTATTGAGCACCTAAATAATTTTAAAATAGCTTTGTTTTAAAATGATTTTGATAATGAGTAATAATAAGGAAATGCAATATTGAAGGTTAAAGTTATGTAAAATGGATTAAATGTAAAATATATGATAGAAGACTTTTTGAAGTGCAAAATTTTGGAGTGGTTCTTCTACTGAAAATATAGTAGTTAGAGTTTGTAATCAATATGGAAAGTATAAAATTAATGAGAAATATGATTTGTGTATGTATTAAAGTTTATTTGCCGGTCATTTATTTATAAATTATTATATGTACGATTATAAATTGGGAGGGAATAGCTTTACACTTTTTATATTTAAGATTATAGTTGTTGAAGCACACACTACGCGCATACCTCCCCGATGGTATAATAAATTGATGTTTACGGGATCTTATTTGTGTGGTAGTCACTAACTTGATTTCAAGTTCTTCCTATCTTTTCTTCCTTCATATATACTGTCTCTTATATTTCTTCTTTGTCTTATCTCATTTTCCTTTTCTATTCATCCTTGTTTTCTTTCACCTTCTTGTTCCTTTTTTCTCCAACCTATCCACTCTCATGTATAGTTGGAATTATTTGGTAAGTCTCTCTCTCTCTCTCTCTCTCTCTCTTCTCTCTCTCTCTCTCTCTTATTCTCTCCCCACTCTTCTCACTTTCCCTACTAATCTCTCTCTTTATCACTCTATCTCGTTTTTCTTTTCTATTCATCCTTGCTTTCTTCCACCTTCTTGTTCCTTTTTTCTCCAACCTATCCACTCTTCTAGTGTAGCTCAAACTGTTTAGTAAGCCTCCCTCTCTCTCTTATTCTCTCCCGACCCTTCTCTTTTTCCCGAATCATTCCCCTCTTTATCACTCTATCCCTCTCTCTCTTATTCTCTTCCGACCCTTCTCTTTTTCCCGACTCATTTCCCTCTTTATCACTCTATCTCTCTCTCCCTGCCCCTTATCCTCTTATTTGCTCTATTTCTTTCTCTTCTGACCCTTATCTCTCTCTCTCTCTCTCTCTCTCTCTTTTCTCTTCTCTCTCTCTCTCTCTCTCTCTCTCTCTCTCTCTCTCTCTCTCCTCTCTCTCTCTCTCTCTCTCTCTCTCTCCCCCCCCCCTCATCTTGGCTCATCTCTCTTTCTTTCACCTTTAAAATCTTAATGTACAACTATTGGAAAGAAAAAAAAACAGAGCATAATGTACAACCAATTAACAATATAACATGCAACAACTTCCACTCCAAATTATGCACAAAAC